ACAGCACCGCCTCTGTTGTTATAATTCTGCCACTGTGAGCTGCATTATTTGAGAGGGGGAGCGTGTGAAACACAATTGAAGAAGGATTTGGCTCATTCAGGGAGGATAAAGGAAGGGTTTTTATTTAATGTATGAGGCTTGTGTTTCAAATAGAAACTGGATTTTATATTAGTTTAGACCGGGGATAGGCAAACTCAGCACTCCAACTATGGTAAAACTACAAAGCCCATAATATCTTTGCTTTGGGTGTCATGTCTGTCAGAGTCTTGCAATGCCTCATGGGACCTGTAGTTTTATAGCAGCTGGAGTGCCAAACAAGGCCAAAAAGGTAAACTAAGCATTTCATTTAGCATAGCCTTCATACACACTTGCAAACTCAGACTGCACCAGGTGTTCAAAGCTACCTGTCACCCCAAAATGGTTATGCATGACTGCTGTCAAGTTATATCAGAGCCTAGAACATTATGTGCTCGAGGACTCCTGTGGTAAAATACTCCCACCAGAATTTGCAGTTATAATTGCGTAACACTACAAAGCTAAATGATGACAGTCTGCTCCAATGGATTCTTCATAATGAAGAATAAATAATAACATGTGCAATCCAGCTGTGGCAGAGTGACATCTACAATATGGCCTTATATTGTAAAGCGCTGCGCAAACTGTTGGCGCTATATAAATCCTGTATAATAATGATAATTATGGGACGGGGCAGAGCTGCAAAGCTCTAGGGAATAATCTACAGTTTTCAAAAAGTATAAGATGTTACATTAAGATTTTCCCTGCTGATCCCCTCCATGTTGAAATGTTTCCTGTGGAGAAAACCTTGAAGATACTGTAGGTCTGTGGATATGCATCCTTTCAGTTGTGCTCAAGGCCACAGTGAAGTAGTCTGTGATATGTCTTAAAGTGACATTCAGACCCCGTTCACATGTAGCGACATACCTTTGCAGCGGCCGGGATAGCGCGACTTTCGGGGCGACGTTCCAGCGACGATCCAGCGACGGTAGCATTTTTTAAAGCGTTTTTGGTTTTTCTTTCTACACTTTTTGCATATATCTACTGCTTGCTAGAAAAACGGAGGCTTCAATTATCCTTTAACCTCTTGCCGTCCGCCCGTAGTAAAAAAATAAAACCCCCAGTGGTGAATAAATACCACCAAAAGAAAGCTCTATCTGTCCCCAAAAAAGGGTATAAAATTCATTTCAGTACAGCGCTGCATGACGGAATAAATGTCAGTCAAAGTACCGCAGCGCTGAATACTGAAAAATGGCCTGGATGGGAAGGGGGTTTAACACCGCGGATGTCAACTGGTTAAATCAGCCATATTGTGCATATACACAATGCATAGGTAACCTTCTGCTTTCCTGCAAATGAAATAAGAAATGCCAAATTAAGATTTGAAAATGAGTTCTTTATAATTCACACTATTCAACAGAGTATACATTAAATGGATTAGGAACTAAAGAATTCAAAATGTAGAATTCTACTGGGTTGCTTTTTTTTTTTTTATTGAGTTTCATATAAATCTCATGCAGTAGAAGAAGGACATGTAAATGTGGTAAAAAGTTTGTAGTAAATCATGGCCGGAGCAGTGAGATTATCCAGGCAAGTATATGGATACCTAGGACGAGATATAAGAGGGGGCAACATGATTAAATGATATACATGTGACAGCAAGGATTTGAAGTTTGATTTGAGAGGAAATGAGAAGCAGAAAAGGATTTGCATAGTGAAGTAGCAGATGAAATATTGAGAGACAAGTGAAGGAGTTTGGCAGCCGTGTTTGGTAAAGGATGAAGTGGGTAATAACTGTCAAGGAAATACCACCCGGAGTTTGCACAATTCATAGTATTCACCATGGGAGACATTCAGGAAACTTTAAAGAATTCTTTGGCACACCATTTCCTGAAACTATCTAAAAAAAAGAAAAATAAATCTGGGTAGTCTTTGTTTTTCTACACCAGACCAATGAAAAAATGGGTTCCCTTCTGCATATTGTTCTGTATTGCTGTTTCTAAACCGGTAATCTGGAAAGTAGTAACCTTAGGTTTGTTAGAACATTAGACTTAAATTTCAACTTCCATTCCCTAACTGTATTTACCAATAAATCTAGCTGGTCGCTATGGGGTAGGATATACAGTTCCTGAAACTGTAAACAAAAGTCAGTTAAAACCTATACAGTATATGCCAATAACCTTTCATGAGGTAAAGGGGCTCGAAACCTGAGATCTGGTTACCCATAAACTAACATTGGGCTTCTGATCAGATCCACCTGAAAAACTGACAGGCAAACCTGATTGGACCGTCTTTCTGAAGGGGGCCTTAAATGTAGCCTACACCGCGCATGTGCTCATCTTTAGGAACAAATAATAAAAAGTGATGCAAGTTCCTGTAGAACATATCTTCTCCCCCAGAGTTACAGTGAAAGATCAGACATGGATATTACATACAGTATGTTTTTGAATATTCTAAATCAGAGTGTTTAAAACTGTTCTGGGTTTTCAACGTGTTTTGTGGACTTCTTCAGGAAAAAATATGGAGGATCATGTGTGAAAGCAGTACTATTGGAATCAGTTGTTTAAAACACCATTAACTATGCCATCTCTCCCATGTGTCCTAGACCAGGAGGCAAATCCATGAGAGATATGGGGGATAATGGGCGCAATCGTCGTTTTCGTACATAGGCGCACCCGATGCATGTTTGCATGTGTATGTGGCTGGGGCGGGGGACTTTAAAACATGTTTTGTGTTATTTTTTTATTATTATTTGTGAATATTTTTTTTACCTTTATTTCTTTTAATGCTGTAATTTTTTTTCTTACTTTTTTTACACAACTTTATTGCTATAACATAGAGGATTAAGAAATCCCCTATGTAATAGCCAGTTCACCAAACAGGTCCTCTTTATGGAGACACCAGGGGTCTCCAAGACCTCTGATGTCACCTAGGGACCCCCACAGAAGCTGATGAAGCAGAGATCTGCTTCATCAGCTTCTCTCCGGTGTTCTGCACTGGAGAGTGACACTGAATGCAGGAAGTGATGTAATATACATCACTTCCTGCATTCGGGGACAGGAAGAGAGATCAAAGGGAAATCGAGTAATGATCTCCCTTTGATCTGCTGTTAGAGCGTCGCCGTGCCTGTCCCAGCCGCACCGGCCACATCGGATCACGGACCGGCAGCAGCGACGAGGAGACGGCGGGACACAGGTACGGGGGGTGGGGAGGCCGCACAACCGCAGCTCCTGCAAGCGATCGGCGTCTCTAGAGACGCCTGATCGCTTGTATGTAAACAGCCATCGCTGGCTGTTTACATGCTCACAGTTTCCCCTGCGCTGAGTGCCGCACAGAGGGAGGAGGGGCAGGATGTCTTAAGACGCCCTCCCGCTCCTAGCAGACTTCCGTCTGGACGTTCACTATCGGCGATAGACGGAAGGTGGTTAAATCACTAATTTTCCTCAATGATTTAAAAGAGAACTATGGCCCTGCCTTTTTTGGCCATCGTTCTCTTTAGGGTCACAGGAGGACATTTACTATGTCCTCCTGTGACCCAAAGCTCAGCATATAGTGGGCTATTGCTCGCTCTATGCCGACAGTGTAGAGCCGTGCTTCAGCCAGGAAAGATCCTCACTATACTGTTGGGATCCACACGGCCACCTGATTGACAGCTGGCTCTGACTCTTGAGAGGAGGAATCCCTGTGGGGGAATCACCACTCTCTGCAGGGAGAAGATCGGGAACTGAGCGATCAGTGATATGTGATCACTGAGTTCTCAATCTAAAGAGCCAGTGTGGGACAGCTTCAATGTAATACGTCAGCTCTAATTATGGGGATAAGTGTATTTCACTCGCCCCAAAATTCTCCTTTAAATAGAAATGTCAGATAGTCTTCTGTTCTCAGGTGGAAGTAGATGATATCAATTCAATTGCATATTTTATTTAATCAAAATTTAAAAGTCACACGCGGTCACTATGGGGTTCGGAGCAGAGGGGGGCCAGGGGCCCAACAGCAGAGGAGGAGGAGGGCAGGGGCCCGCGGCTGGTGGAGGAGGAGGAGGCCGGGGCCTAACAGCGCCGGTCCAACGCCGGAGGAGGCCAGGGCCCAGCAGCGGGCGGCTCAGGGCTGACAGGTAAGAGGAGCACAGTGTGCAGTGAAAGGGACCCCGACCAGCCCACTCTCAGATGGGCTGTGCATGGTCTTTGGTATGTGCGGGGTCTCAGGTGGGCACTATGGTGTTCTCTGCAGGGTCACTCTCAGGTGGGCTGTGCAGTGTTTATGATATGTGCGAAGTCTCTGGCAGTCTCTGCATGATCTCAGGTGGGCTCTGTGGGGACTTAAGTGGACTGGATAGTGCTATGACATGCCATCCCTGGGTACGATGGATGGTATCATTACATGCCATCCCTGTGTATGTAAGAAGGTATCATTTCATGCCATCTCTGTGTATGTTGCTATGACATGTCATCTCTGTGTATGTTGCATAGTGCTATGACATGTCATCTCTGTGTATGTAGTAGCATAGTGCTATGACATGCCAATGCCTGGAGAAGTTCAGCAGCCAATCAGACAATTCCTCTTGCAAGTCTCAGGCGAGCCAAGCTCTCCAGGAGTGGGCGTGTCTCATATTTTGCAGCTTTGTGATTGGCTCCTCCGGTAACCCACACACCAGGCTAGTCGGGGGCGAGGACCCGCTTGTCGCTCCAGCTCAGCTGCTCCTCTCACTCGCTCTGTTGCTGATTTAGCAGTAATGGACGGTGAATGCAGATCAGACACGTGTGCCGTCCTCTCCCTGTACACACACCCGCGGCATGTGACCTGCGGGAAAGCGAAACCCGACCCCGGGATTCCAAGTGACATAATCAGTTGGCAGCCCCGAGCAATATAAATAAAACTGCCAATTGTGGCTCGCCTAGGCGGGAGGGGGAGCTTCCCGCAGTCCCACCTTCCCCGAGCTCAGTCCTGGAGCCGATCCACTGATGTGACACTGACAGCTCCGGGCGACAGCACGAACAACATCCCGCAGCCTCTGCTAACATTACCCTACAGTGCGCGTCACCGACCCGGGAGCGCGCCTTCTCCCAGCTCTGACATCACACAGCCTCAGCATGGCGGTCAAGGTGACTCTAAACTTGCTCGTGTTATTTGCATAATACCTGCTCCATGCTTTACAGCCGCTTCCCCTAACCCAGCTACTCGCCATCAGAGACGCCTCCGAGCTTGGAAGTGCAATGCATGCAGTAATATGTCTTGTGTCTGAAAAAGCAAAGGGTGGAGATCACTGCTCAGCCTGCCTGCCTGTGTGTCTTACAGTGTATGCATTGTACGGGCCCTGCTACCATGCTGCTTGTGTGTTGCAACAGATGACTTAATGAGCCATATTTTATTTATCGATGTCATTGCCGTGATCTGCATCCTGACCATGTCATTATGTGACATCCGTTCTGCAGCCTGCACAGAGGTCATCAGCTGCTTGTGTGACACCATACAGGGGGCATTATACAGGTGACAGCTCTCAGGTGATCAGATGCTTGTGTGACAGTGCACAGGTGACATCATACATGTGATCAGCTGGTTGTGTGACAGGGGACAGCATACAGGTGACAGCTCCCATGTGATCAGATGCTTGTGTGACAGTGAACCAGTGTCTGCACACAAGAGACAGCACACATGTGACATCGTACAGGTGATCAGCTAGTTGTGTGACAGTGCACAGGTGTCTGCACACAAGGGACATCATAGAGGAGACAGCACACAGGTGATCAGCTGGTTGTGTGACAGTGCACAGGTGTCTGCATACAAGGGACATAATACGGGAGACAGCACACAGGTGACATCATACAGGTGATCAGCTGGTTGTGTGACAGTGCACAGGTGTCTGCACACAAGGGACATAATACAGGAGACAACACACAGGTGATCAGCTGGTTGTTTGGCAGCGCATAGGTGTCTGCACACAAGGGATATTATACAGGTGATCAGCTGGTTGTATGACAGAATACAAATGCAAAAGGGACGTCATCCAAGTGAGAATATTTGAGACCGCATACAGTTGATCAGCTGGTTGTGTGGCAATGCACATGACAGCACACAGGTGATCAGCTGCTTGTGTGACAGCACACAGGTGACTTCACATAGGTGACATCATACAGGTGATTAGCTGGTTGTGTGACAGAGCACAGGTGTCTGCCCATGTTTTGTTTGCCCATAAGGGACATCACACAGGTGACTGCACACAGGGGACATCATACAGGTGATCAGCTGGTTGTGTGACAGCATACAGGTGATCAGCTGGTTGTGTGACAGCACACAGGGGACATCATACAGGTGATCAGCTGGTTGTGTGACAGCATACATCTGATCAGCTGGTTGTGTGACTGTGCACAAGTGACTGCACACAGGGGACATCATACAGGTGATCAGCAGGTTGTGTGACAGTGCACAAGGGACATCATACAGGAGACAGCACACAGGGGACATCATACAGGTGATCAGCCGGTTGTGTGACAGCACACAGGATGATCAGCCGGTTGTCTGACAGTACACAGGTGATCAACTGGTTTTGTGACTGCACACAGGGGACATCATACAGGTGATCAGCTGGTTGTGTGACAGCACACAGGGGACATCATACAGGTGATCAGCCGGTTGTGTGGCAGTGCACAGATGACAGCACACAGGGGACAGCATGCATAGTACATCACACAGGTGATTAGCTGCTTGTATGACAGCATACATGTGATCAGCTTGTTGTTTGAAAGCATGAAGGTGATCAGATTCTTGTATGACAGCATGCAGGTGACAGCACATAGGTAATTTAGCTGATTGTATGAGCTCACAGGTGATCAGCTAGTTGTATGATAGCATACAAGTAACAGCACACAGGTGATCAGCTGGCTGTAGGACAACACACACAGGTGACCGCACACATGAGCTCACTGACAGGGTTAATGTTTGACAGCTTGATGTAAAACGTGAATTAGCTGCTTCTGATCAGGATGGTAGTGGTTCTCGTGTCCTGTGAATTACATTAATTCTTCTGACTTGTGTGGATAAGCTAAACCCAGAACAACTCTAGTTCACTGTTTGTGTGTTTGTAGTGCCAATGTGAAGAGCTGCCCGGCAATCATTTGAAGTGGTCTTCATTGGGGGCAGGATGTACATGGCAAACGCCTGAGTGACTGATTCATTATTGATCTTGATTACAGTTCACCAAAAGAGCTGATCCCAATGAGCTGAAGAATATATTTCTGCAGGTAAGGGGAACAAAATTACTACTTTTTCTATTTGTACATTTTATTCTTGTTGAGGTGTTTGGTGGCTAACTGTTTTGTTAACAATTTTGATTCATTAATAGTAAAAAGCTCTTTGAAGACCCGAGGGGAGAGTTTTTAAGTGTAATTAAAGTGAATCTCTAGGGAAAACTTTTTTTTTTTTAAATAGTTTTGAAGGTGTAGAAGAGATAGACGGTAAAAAGTAAAAGGCTTAGCTAGATGGATAGGTAGAATGGTTCGATAGATAGATGTACAAAAACCTCTGTCAAATTTGTATTGCTGTGTGCCCATTGGGGTGATTCACCCCTCTTGTATTGATGAAAATGAACCCTTTACAGACCACAGGAGCCAGCTCTGTACAAATTTGCCCGAGGCATAACATAGGCTTCCTGGTCGTGTGTGTTTACTGATTGCCTGTCATAATGATCAAATAATCTGACCTGCAGACCCCTGATGAGAGCTGTTGGTGACAGCGTGGTCACTCTCCTGGGGGTGCCAAGTAAGTATGCTCCAAGGGACGCCAGCTGTACTCGCCTATATGGCAGCTGAGCGTTAAGGCTCACGGCATCACTGCCACATATATCTGTATGGCCAGCATTAGGGGTAAGATCCAAAATTTTAGAATTGTTATTGTACCCAGAACAAGAGGTAGGTGGAAATCTTCTAATGGGGACACCTGTTTTGGGTACTTTTGTCTTAAGAGGGGAATTCTCCTTCCTTTGAGAGAGTTCCTCTTGCATCCCTGCGTCTTGCGACCTTCCTGTTGATTCTCTGGGACAGGAAGTGAAGGGAAGTTTCCCCAATGGTACAAAGACAAAAAGTAACCTGGCAAGGGTTTTATCTCTCCTCTGTCCAAAACTGCAAAAAAATGTTTGCCAATACATACACTTTAACTACTAAAAAGAATAACTAAGTAGAAATTATTCTCCCTTGAAAACAGGCAATAAGGGGGATTATGTTCACCTTCTGAACAGACTTAAATGTTCCATATAGTAAACTTTGTAAAGGACAAAAAGCACCTGGAAAAAATAGTTTTAACTTCTGCATAAAAAAAGGCTTTTTTACAGTTAGAGCGGTGAAATGTACAAGTCTTCTGCATGAGCAAGTTCCAGTCAATTTAATGGATGGCTTTAAAAAGGCCGGATGTGTCACTTAATAAAACATAAATAAATAAATATACTGTTACAATATATAATAAATAACAATGTAGTTTGACGATTATGTATCTGATTTCCCTTGGGGACCAGGAAAGATATTTATTTTCCTGTTAAGCGTGGATTAGACTGTGATTTATATTGGTTTTCTTGCCTTCCTCTGGATCAACTTTGAATGTAGGGTTCTGAAGGTGTAGTTTTTTTTTCTTCTTTTAACTCAATGATGTGTCTTTGTGTAAAGTTTCTTTGTTTACTGCCAGATTTTCAAATTTGCGGTGCAATAGCACAAATTTATGGTACAGACAGGCGCTTTTTTTTTTCTTCAGAAGGATGGTTTTTAGATGGTTCAAGGTACATAGCACCACAATGCACTGCACCATATTTTGTGCACTGCGGTATTAAACATTTTACCATTTCTTAGCGCAACGCACAGTTCTGGCCTTAAGTATAACAGTAGAGAAGGTCTATGGCAGTTTATTCAAATGAACACAGTTTATGGAGATAAATGTTTTATTATCTCCCACTCTGACTGCCTTTAGGACGATCCCTTAAGACTCATCTCTTTAGAGAAGCCTATTTCACTTCTATGTAATGACTGAACTATTCCTCTCTTAAACAACTCATTCCCACACAGCTACCTCCCTATGTATCACTGGCCCCTCCCTTTTAGATTGTAAGCCCCCAGGGGCAGGGCCCTCCTTACCATCTTGTCTTGAATTGTATTGTGATTGTAATGTCTTTCTTATATTGTAAAGCGCTGCGCAAACTGTTGCCGCTATATAAATCCTGTATAATAATAATTAGGAATGCCAGTTTACCTGAGAACATTTTTTTTAATTGCCAGGTAGCAAAACAATCTGCTACAGTTCTGTTATGGCGGTATTAAATCTTCTAGCATAAACTTGTCAGTTTAATGGGTGAAGTGATTAGGCATACTATCAGGAGACCTATGTGAGATATTCATTGAATGCTTCCTATGTGATCATGTGTCTCCCGCTGTTATGAAATCACTGGTAGCCAACCACTGACTTCTCATGGCAACGCTATATTTTTTTCTTTAACGATCTGGCTCAAGGCTACATGTAGAGCTAAGGCTTGTTTATTTTCAGAATTCTGGGAGTTTTGTAGGTTTTCTTTTTAAATAAAAGACCTTAGAAAATTGTCTGAATTTTTAGTAAATGTTGCAATATAGATATTTGATAAGTCCGCAAGAATGCTGTTTGGGCTGGTGTATTTATAGACAATGCTTTATTTATTTTATTTGGGTGGGGGGGGGAGGGGGGTGTATTAGTCCCCTTGAAATTGAAGGAAAATTCCTGTAATTCATAAAGATTGGCATAGACACTTATTAGAAATCTATCTCAAGTCCGTGGAACAAATCCGCAACTCGTGACATATTCATGTAGCTATTAGTAAGGTATAAGTGAATCTGTTGCAATTTTGTCTGCGACACAATACATGGGCACCCATTTACACTTGTGATCAGGTGAGCTTCACAAATTGCTCCATGAGACTCATGTGAACAGCTGCGGGCGGGAAAGCAATGATAGCTGACAGCCCCTTAAAGTGATATTAAAGTCTAAAGGTTTTTTTTTAATGCTGTTTCAAATGCTGATGAAAACACTTACAATGGATGCTGCTCCTTGATGTTTAAAAGTTTGTTTCCTGCAGAATCGGCGGGTCCCCTGAGCACTGGACCTGAGGGTGGCTCCTTTCCTTTTAAAGCGTCCTATACAGTCACTCTTAGGTGTGCTAGTAACCTGTGTGTGTCTCCGCAGACACAGCAAGGCAAGACACTCTCCCTACTTCCATTTCCTCCCTTTTCCCTTCTGCAGGCTAGTAGATGAATAGCTGCTGGAGACTGTGCTCTCGCTTGTGACCCTGTATTCAACAGGAAGTTCAGGGAAGCCAAGCTGAGAGTGTTGGAGACAGCTGTTCAGAAACACAATGACTGGAAGTGATTGGGCAAGAATGTAAAGAAATGCTTTTCTGGGTAATGTATATTTATTGGATGTGGATGAAAAAAAAGTTTGAGAGTTCGGTGCTACTGCCATTTGCATGTAGTTGAAAATGTTGCAATTACCTGTGGACAGTTGACCCAGGATGCAAACAGTTTCACATTATTGTCTCACTGGGCGATTTGTGACTCTCTTGCGTTAGCGGAAACAATCAGGCCCATGTTAAGACTGTAGGCAGTCAGATGTAAGCAGACATGTGTTGAGGGGCAGAGTTTTGCTGATTCACTGATGTTGGCTATTCTACACATCAAGTAATTGAAGTGACACTAAACTCAGGAGTTGAATCATAAAAAATGGATTCAAGTACCTTTTTATTAACAAAAAATGTATCTTATTGCTGTAGATCTTAAATGCTGTAGATCCTCTCTGATTTGGTGCTGACACTGTCCTTCCTTCCGGAAAGTTGGCCACTTCTGTTCCCCATGGTCCCTGTGTATTGTAAAGTAGCCACCTCTCCAAGCTCACTCCTGTAATGGACTACAACCCCAATATAAATTAGTAAACCTCAATGTGAAATTGTAGTCCATCACGGGAGCGAGCTTGGAGCGGTGGCTACTTTACACTGCTTGGTCCAGGAATTTAGAAAAAAAATTTCACGTCTTGCAGCTATCACAATGTGCAAACGCAGCAGTTTTTCACTCCGCATCAAATTTTAATGCAGCTTAAATTGGTTAAACGCGTTTGGATGAACCTTTTTATTACTAGTTGAACTACACATTTGTTTTAACCCCTTCGTGACTGACGACGTACAGTGTACGACCAAAGGGTCGGATTTTTTATTTTATTTTATTACTGCACAGCATAGGCTCCAGGAAGTACACATCCACTGGTCCTGTGAGGAGCTCTCTGGATTCTGGTTACAGTGAACCATAGGAAAATCAGATTAATGTTACTTGAATGAACCTTCTGTGCAGTTATAGTGTTTGCAGGACCAAGCCTACAGATTGGTTTCATAAGTTAATAGTTCACAATGGTTCTGTAGACTGTAAGGTAATTATACACTACATATAGAGCATTTAGGCTAAATATTATAGATAGTTTAAGGTTTTTTTTTTAATCAGCTTTACCAATAACTATATTATGTTATTAGTCCTTGCTTATTTTGTAATTCTGATTTAGTTGTTGCTTACACTGTGCAGTCAATATTAGTTCCTTCTCACATTTCCTTGGTTTAGAGCGTCTGTCTGAAAAGAAATTAACTTCTGATTATTTCTGGTTTATCATGCAAACATCCACTTTATATTAGTATGTTCTCGTGTTGTAACTTGTTAATCAACCGGTTTCACTGCTTTGATTGTAAGCTGTAATATTGGCCAGCATACCTAACAAGTCTTATGCAATATGCTTCCCTCCCAGAGCCTTTCCTCCCATGAATGGCAATGGAGACATGATGCTGTTATTGAACTAAACAAGCGAATAAACCTTGCTGTCCAGACCTTGCTACATGGCGGCTTGGAAAGGTTTATAGAACACTACAGGTGCCCATACACTGTACGATAATCGCGGGAAATCCCTCGATCGTACGATAATCGCAAAGTGTATGGAAGACGTGCGACCGTTTCCACTGTGCGATCTCATGTCTTCCGTCGAACAAGCAGGCTGGAGAACCTGCCGGGAATCGTACGATTCTCGGTGGGTTAGTGGCGTGCTTGTTCGAACTGCCGAACGGGCCGGTGTGCGCACGCTCACACTGCCCGTTCAGCATTGCAGTCATTGGAAGCCCGCCTCTCAGCGGGGCGGGCTTGCGATGATCGCAAGTATGATCCGCCTGTCCAAGATGGGCAGATCGTACGTTGTTTTAATTACTTTA